AGGTACTGCAGTACATGAGAAGGAGGGCAGCCACTGCTAAAACATGATTTTATGGTCTGTAGTGTGACGAGAGAAGACTCTACCTCAGAGAAGAAGGGGGCTCTCAGAACAAGAACGGCCACCTCTGTTCTCACCATCAGTGCACGCAGGAAGGGGCCCTTCAGGAGTATCCTGGGGCACAATTCCATATGTCCACTGGGCTTTCCGAGGACAGGCTGATGAGAATAACTACCCTGAGGCTTCCTACAGCAGTGGTGACAGACCAAGCTGCAGAGACCTCTTCATAAGCCAGAGATATCTCTGAGCCAGTGATGCTTATGCTGTCTTTCTTTCTCCCCCAGGTGCCTGGATCACCAGCTCTCCTGCCCATTCATCATGCCTCGGAAGCAAAAGAGAAAGCCTGCTGCTCCTAAGAAAATCCACCCTGTCAAAGGGGAGACCCAGGTAATTCAGGAAGCACAGGCTACTACTACCGAGAAGAGAATATTACGCTCCTCATCTACTCCTTTGGAGGTTACCACTCACGCAGATTCTGCTTCTCAGTCACAAAGCCCTCCAGAGAGATCGCAGAGAGAAGTTTCTGCCACTAAAGCAACAGATATGCCAAACCCGAGATCGAATGAAGGAACCAAATGCAAAAGTAAGAGAAAGCACTGCTCTCCTCAGCCTCAGCTCTCCACCGAGCAGTCTCCCGAAGATGCACTAACCGAGGAAGATATGCCAAACCTGAGATCAAATGAAGGAACCAAATGCAAAAGTAAGAAAAAGCACTGCTCTCCTCAGCTTCAACTCTCCACGGAGCAGTCTCCCAAAGATGCACTAACCAAGGCAGATATGTCGAGCCCAAGATCAGAAAAAGAAGCAGAACGCAAAACTAAGAAAAAGAAAATGCCTCTCAGCAAGATGGTCAGCAATTTGGTGAATCACATGATTGAAATGTCCGTAATGCAAAAACCTATTATGAAAAAGTCTATGTTGAAGATTATCGATAAAAAGTATAAGAAACGCTTCCCAGAACTCCTGGGAAGAGCTTCTTTCAACATAGAAGTGGTATTTGGCATGGAATTAAAGGAAGTTGATACCCCCAAACACTCTTATGCCCTTGTCAGCAAAATGAATCTCCCCTATAATGGGGTGCTGACTCGTGGCAAGGGATATCCGAAGACGGGTCTCCTGATGAACATTCTAGGAGTGATCTTCATGAAGGGCAGCTCTGCTTCTGAGGAGAAGATCTGGGAATTCCTGAATAGGATGAAAATTTATGATGGAAAGAAACACTTCCTTTTCGGAGAGCCCAGGAAGCTCATCACAAAAGATCTGGTGAAGCTGAAATACCTGGAGTACCGCCAGGTTCCTGATAGCAATCCTCCTCAGTATGAATTCCTGTGGGGCCCAAGAGCCTATGCTGAGACCAGCAAGATGAAAGTCCTGGAGTTTTGGGCCAAGATCAATGATACCGAGCCCAGTGCCTTCGAGTCCAGGTATGAAGAGGCTTTGAGAGATGAAAAAGAGAGTGCAGAGGCCTTAGTTACACACTGTGAAAGCACTCAGGGCGTAGCCCGGGTATGTTCCTTTCCAGGGGTTACAGTTCTTCCCACAATAATGGAAGTTGATGAAGGAGAAGATTCTGCAGTTTGTAATTGAAGAAAGCCGACAATGTTCCCAGCAGTGAAGGGTGGCAGTGTCTGGAGGGAACAGAGTGTAGGGTTACTTTGTGTTCCTATTTCACATGGGCAGTTTTGTGATTTATCTATGTTTATATATATATAAAAATGAAAATATGTTTACACAGATAAACATTTATATCAAACTTTGTTTTGTTAACATCTGAGTCTGTGAAAGATTTTGCTCACAGTT